CTGCATATGTTGAAATTCGTCCGTCAAATCATTGAAATTGCTACTACATCCGCCATTTCCTAAGTTATTTTGAAATTAGTCTGAGTAGAAATAGCACAACTTATAGGAAGTGGGAAGCCTTATGATAATTTCAATGATTAGAGGGACTCGTTTCAAAATAATTTAAGAATTGGTGGACCTAGTAGGAGTTTCGATCATTTGAGGAACTGATTTTCAAACATGACAAATTTAAGACACTAATATCGAGGAAAAAAAATCCTTAATTCTGAATTAGGGTTTCGTTTTCTAAGCCTTTTTGTCGTGAGTGCAGGATTTAAAGTAAGCTGTAGCTATATGTATTATACTTTTTACTTGTTTATTATGGGTTTTCTGGGTCAACTGTTTATATTCTTTTAGGCATGATTTAAAATTAAATATCTGGTTCTAGGATTTGTTTTTAGGAGGAAAGTGATAGGAATTATATGGGTTTCAACTGATAAATTTAGAAATGGAATCATCTATTCCCTTCATTTTGTGAATATTACTGGTCACGTACTCTCCACAACAACTAACTTACGCTGTTTTCTGTGTCTGCAGTGGTATAAAAGGAGAAAAACCATTCTATCAAGGTTTCTATGTAGTTTGCAGTCTTTGGCTAATGTCAACTGGTCCTGGTCTTGAGTCACTTGTTGATCGTATGTGCTCAATCTTTCTGTCCTGATAATAGTTTTAATTGTTGAAAAACTAGTTATTTATTAGAAATATACTCTTTTTTCTTTTCATTGTAATGAAATTTCAAAGCTATACTAGTTATCACAATTAATTACTAAGCTTTTACTTGTTCTTTCTTTTTTTGTGTGCTCAGAAACTATATCGGTTATCACAAATGATGGAAGAAACATCGTGGTGAGTGTGATCTCCTTTATTGCTTCGGGATGCTCCTGATTACAGCCTTCATCTCCTTTATTTTTTCATTATCAATATTGAATTTTACCTGATCTTTTCCTTTGTTCTATCTTGTTTGTGTTTCTTTCTGCAGAAACTTTAATTTTCCAAGTTTCTCTTTCTTTCTCTGATCTGTAGTCTTTACCTTAGATAATTTGTTTTAAATCTTCACCATTTAACAAGAGTAAAGGCCTTGGTCTCTTCGACGATTCTAACAGATTATATATATATTTTGGATTTAGGGAATTTTAAAAGGCTTTGATCAAGCCACCAATATCATTTTGGATGAGTCACATGAGCGGGTTTATTCGACTAAGGTTTGTCATCTTTTCTCAAGTGTTGATTTTAAATTATTTTCATATTATCATTGCTCTCAAACTTCATGGATGAAGCTTAGGATTCTACATTTCTGTCTTTAAGCTTTCAAAACATTGGTGAATAAGCAATAGAGATAACTGGGCAGTTGGATGTTCACATGAAAATCACCTGATATATTTTTTATAACATATGTGATTTTTATGATATATACGATTTTCATGCCTAGATCATCTAGCCGCACACATCTGAATTTTACTTACTAGCTGTTTTCTTCTGCTATGTACCATATGGAATCCTACACTCCTCTGCTATATTATATATCGTGCATTATGGACAGTGGAGAATCTAGTAATAGAAAATGAGATTTGATTAGGTGAAGGAACATGACAAATTAGCTCTTATAGTTTATCAAATTATCTTTTATAGTTTATCAGAAAAATGGAAGCGCCTGGAACATCAATGGTTTTTAAATATATACTAACCTTTTCAGAAAACATAGGAACTAGATGAAAATCTCTGATCTGTATCTAATCGATGCTCGTGGTGTCAGATGGATTTTTGCTCCTGTTTTTGTGATTCGCTGCAAATATAGAAGAATAAAGGCTTTTGGGGGATTCTTTTGCTTTCGGCAGCCAAGGAGGGAATTGGGGAAATGCAAAAACATAGCAAATTAGAGAGGTTTTTATTTTTTGTTTTGTTTGTTGCCAACAATTGAATGATATATTAGGAAATATATATTAGTTATATGGTGATCGAAAGATATTAGGAGAATAAGAGTGAGTAGGCAATTGAGTTTAGTCTCACATTGTCTAGAAGACTAGACCTTTGTTATTGTATCCCTATATATGAGTAGTAGTTGTAGACTTTTATCAATGAATAAGAATCTACGATATTCTATCGTTTAAGATGGTATCAGAGCCATGGTTTTGAAAATAAAATGTTGATAGCCTATTCCTCAAGCATTAGCCCCTCCATTCCTCAAACTATAACCCGCCTCCCTCTCCTTAGTGTAGGGCTGCCTCCTTAGATTTCTATCACCCCCTCGGGGCGCCACCTCCTTAGAACGCGCCTTGTGGGCCATTGTCCTTTGGACCACCGCCTACGGTCGACCACCGTCTAGCAACCGCCGATGGTCATCGAGTCATCAGTTGTCGCCACTGTTATTGGGTTGTTACTGTCAACGCTATTGTCGTCATTGCTGTTGTCGTTGTCACAGGTTTTGTATATTTTTTTGTGTATTTCCTTAACATGAATTATTTTCAAAAGTTAGTCCTGGTTGTTTTTAATTATTGATGTTTGGTGAGGGTGTTAGAGCTTACAATTGTTTGTTTGGTAGCTTGTTTAGTTGTTTAAGGGTAGTGCTAGGAGTTCGGTTTGGTTTGTAAGGGAGGGAGGGAGGGATGGAGGTGCTAGGCATTTGTTATGCAATCGGAGGATGATGATAGGTTTATCGCTATGGCCATAGGTTAGGAAGTTGCACGTATCCTTGTTTCAGAATACTTGTCGAAAAGACTTGTAATGGGATGTTGTTCACTAGTAATTATCTGTAGTGAAAGAGACTTGTTTTGATTAGTTTGGAAGGGCGTGCAAAATAGGAACAGTTGATGGGAAAATTTCTTTCTAGACAGGGAAAAGATTGGAATTGGGATGACAAATAACTGGGGATTCTAACCTTTCATGGAGGGTTACCATAGGACAGTGTTGTAAAAAGCGAAAAATAGCGGCACTATAGCGTCACTAATCGCGGAAGCAGCAGTAGGCCGCTCCGATAAGGATGTTCGCGGGGCGTCATGGCGGGAAAATCTGCTTTTCACTCGAAAAGCCCTTAATAGCGGGTGAAAGTGCTGTTTAGCGCTTTTAAGCGCTAAACAACGCTATTGGCTTTAACATTTCCTACCCGACCCGAACCCGACTCGAACTAACATAAAAACCCATCTCTCTCTCTCTCTCTCTCTTGTTTTGTTTTAAGCCCTAGCCGCTTCTATTTCTCTCGCGTCTCTCCTGACAGCTGAAACAACGCCGCCTCCGCGTCCGCCTCCGGTCAACGTCATCTCTAGCACGCGGGTCTGCGACTATCTCTGTTGCGTTTGTCTTGCAACAGAGAAAAAGGTAATTTTGCTGCCTCATGTTATAAATTTCATTTATTGATATTCAATCTTTATCAATTGACTCTTATACATAGAGATTTCCCACTTTTACACACTTATACACAGAGATTTCCCAGTTTTGCACTCTTTTACCAATTTACGTTGTCAAATTTCTAGTAGTAATATAATGATGACGTTACTAATCAATGCTTTTTAATTGTTGAGCATTTTTATATTAGAGACTTGAAAATTGAAGGAATGAGACAAATAACGGTCTTTTTGATAAATAGGTACATCTTTTATTCTTTATAATTATAGTACTTTGTTAATATTATGCAATTGTTACACGTCTATTTCATGCTTAGGCATCAAACATGCATTTGTAGAAATTTTAGATTTTTTATAATTTTTCTTATTTTTTAGAATATTTAAATAAATTTATATTTGACCGCTATTTGACTATACGCTATTTACCGCTATTTTACCGCAATAGCCCTAAATAGCATTAGCGGTACCTCGCCGCAACGCGATGTTCTCCGCTATTAGCAACTTTGCCATAGGAGTATGGGATGACACGACCACATGCGATTACTCTTGTAGGCACGTGTTCACTTTCTGATACTTGTCACTTGCTACATGATATTTTTCATAAATCTTATCATAAGGATGTAGAAGAGAAATTAACATTGATTACACAATAGAGAGACGGAGAGGCAACAATACTCATTATAGAGTTTGTAGAGGAAGTTTTGGAAATATTCGTGGATCCACAAAACAATGATCCTCTCGAGATCCACCAAACAACGATCCTCTCCAGGGATCAACTAAATGAACCCACAAAACAAACTAATAGAATAAGCATTTAAACTGATCTCTAAAGAACTGATCTCTAAGTGATATTCACCAAACTAATCTCTAAAGAGCAATCTTCAAAGAAGCAATCTTGCACTAGACTAATCTCTAAACAGGGCCGGCCTTGGGGTAAGCCCACCAAGCCTCGGTGCTGAGGCAACCCAGAACCGGAGGGCAACCCATCCCTTCCGCTCCTTCACCCCTCAAACTGTAATTATCTTTGATTTTTGAAGTGGACTTTGTAAGAGAACTCTAATGAATACCCAAAACCCTACCCAACTCCTTTATTTTCGTCAGCATTTACTCACCTCCTTCCCGTCTTTGTTCCTCACAAAAAAAAGAAAGAGAAAAAACCGTTCCTCCCCTCCTTCCCGAGCCTCCGACGGTTCGACCTTACTCTGCTCCCATCGGACCCGTCCTTCAGGCTTCACCCCGCTGACTCCTCCAACCTAATCAGATAAATTTTTTTAACTAAATAATTTTAGGGTTTTTTTGGACAGAAATTTGAGATTTTGATGTTTTACAATGAAATTAAGATTTTTTTATTTTGAATCTTGGCTGAATCTTAGTTGTTGAATAATTGAATTAGGGGTTATGATGTTTTGAAATGAAATTAGGGTTTGTTTTAATAATAATAATATTGCTAAGTAGCCTAAGTTTAGTTGATTGTGATTTCATATATGTTATATAATTATATTTACAGACTATAGTACACCATGACGGGAGATGGTAAAAACCGAGTTAAGGATTAGAAAACAAAACTCTGGAGCTCATAATAGAAGAGTCAAGCGACGTCAAGATGAAATGACAAAATCACTAGATGACTCAATTTCTAAGCTATTCAAAGCAAAAACACAATATTCTCTTCTTTCGAGTCAAGTTGAAGAAGCTAGTGCCACCGTCAATATTAGTGAAAATATAGATGAGGTCATTGAGGAGCCCATGAATGAAGTCACTTATGCGGATGGAAGTCGTAATGAGGAAGCTAGTGATGAAGATCATGAAGAGCCTGTGAATGAAAATGTTCATGTGGACGAAAATGACAATGAAGTAGCTTTTAGTAAATATCATGAAAGCATACTTGATCTTGAGAAAAATGTGAAAGTAAATTATGATCCGGGATTGTGGGGAAGTATAAATGATGCTAAGAGGGTGATGATAGTTCAACGTGGTACTATCAAGATTTAAAAAAAATGATGAGTTTCCAAGTCAAAAGAAGAGTGGGAGAAATAAAAGTTTTTTTTTAAAATATTACATCCGTGAATTTCCAAATGGCGAGAAGCATGAAAGGAAATAACTTGTCTATTCAAATGAACTGAATAGGGTATTTTATTTTTGTTGCAAGTTGTTCAAGAATAAACCAATGCCAACCAATTTGGCGGAGAATGGAATAGACGATTGGCATAACTTTCCTTCAAAGCTTAGAGAGCATGAAAGTAATCCGGAGCATTGTGCAAATGTTGTGAAGTGGGTTGACTTGCAAAAAGGACTAAAATTAAAGGCAACAATTGATAAAGATATAGAAGCACAAAATGACAAAGAGAAAACTCGTTGGAAGATGATACTAGTTCGAATCATTGCTGTTGTGAAGACTCTTTCTCGAAATGGTTTGCCATTTCGTGGAACTAATGAGAAGATTTATGAGAAGAACAACAGACTTTTTTATCAACTTATAGAGTTCCTTGCAGAATTCGATCCAATTATGCAAGATCATGTTCGGCGTGTGGTATATAAAGAAGTTTAGAGCCATTATCTTAGCCATAAAATTCAAAATGAATTGATAATTTTGTTGGCGAATGATATCAAAGCAAAAATTCTTGACAAAATTTTAAAAGCGAAGTATTTTTCGGTTATTCTTGATTGTACGTCGGATTTAAGCCACGAGGAACAAATGTCAATTATCATTAGATGTGTGGATATTGAAGATACAAATCAAGTCAAGGTGGAAGAGTTTTTTCTTGGATTTATAAAGGTTGATGACACGTCGGGACTTGGGCTTTTCAATCAACTTAAAGATACTTTGAATGAGCTTAATCTCAACATTGATGATATAAGAGGTC